GGGCTGGCGCACTGGCGCTTGTGCTTAGCGAATGTCTTGCCCACATCTAGTAACAGCTACTAGTAAGGCTTCGGAGGAAATTTTGGACTTTTTTGCTGTTGTACTCTTGCGGGGTTGCAATAGTGCCGATTATTGAAGGTGATGTAATAACATGATACCCAACCGTAGTTTTCAGACTCCCCGCCGCATTTCTCCTTCTCTCCATTTCGCCGTTCCCGACTACAATAACAATAAACTGCGAAATTTCAGGCATTACACTCAATTACTCACAATTGCAGTCGTAGGTTTGGTGCGCGCGGTGGGACTGCACACACCACACAGGTGACGAACTAAAGGTACGCCTAATTACGCTGCTGATTTAATTACTCATCTTTCTCCTTTGCAACTTCTTCATTTTATGAGGAGGTTTTTCTTATTTTTTTTCTAATTTTGAAGTGCCCTGTGTAACGGTTTTGTGGATGTGTTTCGGAAATGTCACTACCAAAGCCTATTTTTTGCGTATCTGCGCAACTTAGATGCCAATAGCCTTGCCGTGTTGTTGCATCGTGTATTACATCTTGTTTCGGTTTATCGGGTGTTAGGAGTCGGTTTTTTATCGATTGCCTATATAGCACTTTCAGGAACGATTTCGTCCATTCTGTTCTTTGGGGGAATTTGTGTTAGCGTTAGAAGTGCGGCTAGGTCCCTATCCTCGATGGCTACCAATTCTATAGCATCGTCCAAGTTCGTTTCGTCTTTTCACTCACAGTTATTATTTTTGTCTTCATGGTTTATATCTTTCTTCATCCCTCTCATATAATGTGGTCTTCTTAGGTTTGAGTAAAAGAGTTCAAAAGGAATGGGCAGTGCCGACCAATGCACAACCACTTCCCCAGCTGTATCTCTACAATAGTCTCACCCGACGGAAGGATTTATTTGTACCGAACCAGGGTAACGTGGTGAGTCCCTTCTGCTTGCCAATGATTCTGACGGCTCTATTACAGTTTTCCAATGTTTTTGCACATCACATTCGTTCAGGTGAAATGGTACATTTGTGGTCCAACAGTGTACGATAGTTCTCATATGGGCCATGCAAGGACCTATCTATCTGTCGACATTCTTAGACGAATAATGACTTCTTATTTCGGCTACGATGTGCAGTTTATTATGAATATCACTGATATCGATGACAAAATTATAAAAAGGTGTGCTTCCTATGAGTTCACTTTCTTTCTTGGTTTATGTGTTTTATTAACTGTAACGGGTGCTAACTTAGTGAAGAGATAGGGTCAACGGATCGCTTGAGCTCGGTCCTTTGAGCCGCCTCAATTCGATGCTTTCTCACCTGCGCTCTCTCGCCTTATCAGCGGCTCATCATCCTTTTCGTGATTTTACAAGCTTCAAGGACTTTGCCCCACTGAGACTGGAATTTCCACTGCGCGGAATGTTTTGCGTCCTTCGGTAAGACGAGGATTTCTTGAGCAAATGAGCAAAGGGAGTGATGTCAGCTCAGGAGGGGAGGGAAGGGGCGAGTAACTCCACATGCATGAAAAGCTAGGAGGGGCGAGTTTCAACTACCGCAGATGTTGAGCGCCGCGGTAGCGATCGGCCTTGTTGCTCAACTGGGTTAGCACATATAATGTCCCACACTAAGTGCATCATTTTAGAGCCCGTCAACGCCATTTGCTAGCGAAGTATCTCGAGTCTAACTAAGGAAGCCCCTTCGGTCGAGAAAATAGTCGAGGATGTCGTAGACGCTTTAGAGAACTTCAGAGTGAGTCCATTTCTTCTCATCTATTGCGTACGTCCAAGGTAAAACTGTTTTCTCAAGGTAGCTGATTTTTGAATTCTTGGCCGTCATTGCTGTCCCTTTTATGTTTTTTTTTTTTCTGAAACGATACGCATTTTACATGGAATGCATCAATACGCCTCAAAGGGGGTTTCAATGCATAGTTTTCTATTGTTTAATGTAGATTCATATACTGGAAAAATCCGACATTAACAAGAAACAGTCAGCTATATTGCCTTCAACAGGCTTTGGCGTTTAACATAAAAAGGGCATTGAATTTAGGATAGGAAAACAGTTATAAATTGTTTAACCCTTTCGGACCTGAATTTTTCCCCGTGGAAATTTTTCTTCTAGCTATTGTTTATTACTTGTGAGCATATAGGTATCATTATGGCGAAATTTGGAAGCTATTCGATCACAAACAAAGAAACTGAAGAAGCTTTGAAAATTGGCCCACCTTCTTAGTTTTTAAGCTTATGTCGAAACAATTCGAAGTTTCATAGTTGTGCCGAAAAAGTTTATAATCTTGCATAATATTATAACCCATAATTTTGATTTAGGAATGGATCCACTTCAAGTATTTTAAGACAAAGTCACACTTACTTGGCCGGTTGCGGGGGTCAGCGCCCATTCACTGTTGCACTTGTACACAAATACTTGCAATACTAACAGCAATAAACAATGAAATGGCCGGTTAAGCTCATAATTAGGAAGGGGAAGGTTGACTGAAGCAACCTCTAGCAGGATTAGAAAAACCATGCTGCTGTTTCAGCGGAAATGCAAGCGTTTGAATTTGGTGGTGGCAATTGCCACCGCCAGGGCCGAAAGGGTTAAACTGATATGAGCTAAGGTTTCGAGTAATTGATCTTTTTTAGAGTGTTGAATTTTTGATTACAAATGTTCTATAGCGAAAATGTTTCAGAAAAAGTATGAGAGCGAAACAGACGTCGATAAAAAGAAGATGTACGAAACTTCGGTAGGAAAGATGTTTTGATTCATTTTTCATGTTTTTTATTATGTTGTATCAGAAGTAATGTTTTTTTATCAAAGGGAATTTTCCACTGAAATTTCGTTATTTTACACCGTACAGCCTTGACAGAGAACCTCATTCTCTGGAAGCATCAGAGGCGTGATCTTAACTAGCTCTGAAGTCGGCTGTGTGGTTCAGTATTCATCTCTTCAATGGAAATTTTTGAAGTGCTGTGGTATTCTCGTGACCTCTTCAGATTACTACGCTTTCCCACAATTCGATTTGATTCAACATTCCAATGTTCATTTTGTTTTTGGGGGTTTAGAGGAGAAATTTTGTTTTAATATATTGACGACAACGCGGGGATATATATCCGCGCATTGCAGGCCATGTCGGACCCGTGCGGGATATATATCTCGCCGCACCCATTACACTCATTTTTTTCCCCGCACCCCTGTATTCTTTTAGAAGTTTCTTGTATTTATTCCATGGAAAGAGACCTTGACGGTAGCCGGTTCTAAAGAACAGCACGTCCGGGCTCTTTAGAGGAGGATTTCTGAACCATACAAAACCTTCATTTCAATAAGTTTTCGTTTACTTTTTCTTTTTATTGATATGAAGATTTGAAAGAGTAGTAGAAGTAGATACGGAACCTAAGGGATGGCAATATGGCGTGTGTTTTGATTGGACAATAAACCGTTAAATTGCTTTTGAGGTCCATTGCAGCTAGTTCTGACAAATTTCGCTTTTTCATTGTTATTCCATGTCTTTCGATCAAAATCCACTACTGTACCCCTGGTAGGTTGTGCTCATTACAATTTACTGATCTGGTTTTGTATTGATCATTATTTATGTATTTATCACTCAAAATCTGCTTGAACGACCTGAGGCGGCCGCGCCCGCAAAATCGCCGTGGTCCCACGTGGCAAAAAAGCCAAAACTCGCGTTGTCGTCAACGTGTTAACCCATTGGCGACAATGCGATTTTTCGCTTGTCTGCCGCGTCGGACCGCGCCTTTTTTGACATTTTCGAAAAATGTGTCATAATGCGGCTAACCACCTGCACCAAAAATGTTGAATCTTGAAGCATGAACTGTTAGAACTTTGCAAGTTTCGTATGATTGCAGACCGCTTCCAAAATGAGCGTGGATCTTTAGGTTTTGCCAAGGGTGTATTTTGGAGCATGCCAGAAAACTTCAAATCTCCACTTTAAAACCCGTAAATGAGGTCGGATCCAGATCTCTCTTTGTGAAATGTTGTAGCATTACTCTAGCTGACTCCAGGCGAAAAGCCAGCCGGATACATTCAAAAATAACAAGCTTTGCCTTGGAAAATCACTTTCAAGTACCCCTCGTGTAAAACATCAACTAAGGAAGATATGCACTGACCATTAATACCGTAAGTATGACAACGCCTTCCTGATTAGTATGCTATAGGGAACACTTCTGGAAATCCTGCGGAGAAGAGTTATCTCAATGCTGCGTCCCCACATCGAGCCGCATTGTCCGTCGTGGCAAAAAAAGTGCGTCCCCGCGTCGAGCCGCAATGTCGCCAATGGGTTAAGGACCTTGTAAGTCTATGATGTCAACAAGAGCAATCAAGCTTGAAAGGAATCACGACAAAGTGTTTTGAACAGTTCCGGAAGCGGAATGTTAAGAAGAAAGTCGTGGCTAAATACAGTGTACATCTTATATTGATTTTTCATGGAAACAGAATTAGAGTTGACGGTTTGACTATTTCTCGTCGACTGTAACTCCCACCTACATTCTGAAATTCCAACGCTTTTTCCAGACGATTGTGGTAGCGAAACATACGTCTCCTGAGTAGCAGCAGATAGGTTATCGAAGTGGTATATTCAGCATGCTTTCCATCGAACTAATTGCCCCCTTTTAAAAGACAACGACCTGTTTTGTCCCGAAAACAGGTCGTTTTTTTCAAAAGGAATTAGTTCGACTGGAAATGCATGCTGGTATACACTTCGAGTAACCTATCTGCTCTACAGGATACTATGTTTCGCTACCACAATCGTTGGAAAGAGGCTGAATTTCAGAATGTAGATGGGAGTTACAGTCGACGAGAAATAGTCACCCAGGCAACACTAACTTCTATTTTCCATGAGAACAAATCAATATAAGATGTACACTGTATTTAGCCACGACTTTTTCTTAACATTCCGCTACCGGGCTGTTCAAAACACCTTGTCGTGTTTCCTTTCAAACTTGGTTGCTCTTGTTCCGCCATGATTTTTCAAAACTTTGAACACCGGAATGTTGAATCAAATCGAACTAAGCGTAGTAATCTGAGGAGTTCATTAGAATATAACAGCAATGCAAAAGTTTCCATTGAAGGGATGAGTACTGAACCACACATGCACTTCAGAGTTAGTTAAGACTCCTCTGATGCTCCACCGCCAGTTTGACTGATTCTAGTCGGCTGGACCTCTACATCGCACGTTTGAAATTCAGCCTATTCGCAACAAATATCGAACTGATCATCTTATGTAGAGAAGAGAGTTCTCTGTCAAGGCTGTACGGTGTAAAATAACGAAATTTCAGTGGAAAATTCCCTTTGATAAAAAACATTACTTCTGATACAACATAATAAAAAACATGAAAAATGAATCAAAACATCTTTCCTACCGAAGTTTCGTACATCTTCTTTTTATCGACGTCTGTTTCGCTCTCATACTTTTTCTGAAACATTTTCGCTATAGAACATTTGTAATCAAAAATTCAACACTCTAAAAAAGATCAATTACTTGAAACCTTAGCAATGATCATGATTACAAGTTTTTGATAACTGTTTTCCTTCTAAATTCAATGCCTTTTTATTTTAAATGCAATGCCTGTTGAAAGTGGGCTTGGTCTCGCCGATGGCAAGATAGCTGACTGTTTTTATTGTTTAATGTCGGATCAGGTATATGAGCCGACATTAAACAATAAAAAACTATGCATTGAAACCCCCTTTGAGGCGTGTTGATGCATTCCATGTAAAATGCGTATCGTTTTCAGAAAAAAAAAAACATAAAAGGGAAGCAATTACGGCCAAGAATTCAAAAATCAGCTACCTTGAGAAAACAGTTTTACCTTGGACGTACGCAATAGATGAGAAGAAATGGACTCACTCTGAAGTTCTCTAAAGCGGCTACGACATCCTCGACTATTTTCTCGACCGAAGGGGCTTCCTTGTTAGACTCGAGATACTTCGCTAGCAAATGGCGTTGACGGGCTCTAAATGATGCACTTAGTGTGGGACATTATATGTGCTAACCCAGTTGAGCAACAAGGCCGATCGCTACCGCGGCGCTCAACATCTCGCGGTAGTTGAAACTCGCCCCTCCTAGCTTTTCATGCATGTGGAGTTACTCGCCCCTTCCCTCCCCTCCCTCCTGAACTGACTTCACTCCCTTTGCTCATTTGCTCAAGAAATCCTCGTCTTACTGAAGGACGCAAACATGCCGCGCAGTGACTTCAGTCTCCGTGTGGCAAAAGTTTGAATGTGTGAAAATCACAAAGGTGATGAGCCGCTGATAAGGCGAGAGAGCGCAGGTGAAA